GAGAGAGAGAGAGAGAGAGAGAGAGAGAGAGGAGGAAACAGAGAAAAAAGACCACCGTTCTTTTTCAGTCGGTCGGTCGGTTAGACGACTTTATGTATCTCAAGTCTTACTTTTCTTGCCGCAGAAAAAAATATTACACCGTTAGACGTTTTCTTTTTGCGTGTTTATATTCTGGCGGAATTTATCCCCGCTCGTAAATTCTCCACGTAAACACCGGTCGTTGTACGTCGCGTTTCTAATTTCGTGGCCCGTCCGTTCTGTCAACAGATGTCCCATTTCCACCGTCGCACAAAATGACAGTGGCAGAGGTCTTCGACGAGCGGACAGATCGGCCGCGGCCCGAGGTCCTCAAGCAGCACTTTATCCTCGAAGGTAGAATCGACGAGGCCGCGGCTCTTCGTATAATCAACGATGGGGCCGCCCTCCTACGCTCGGAGAAGACCATGATAGACATCGAGGCTCCGGTCACCGGTGAGTCGACTCACTCTTTACTCTTTTTCAAAAAATATTTCCAAATTTGATTGAACATTGCTCCGATGAAGCTGCGCGATCGCTATATTGCCGCTTCCCGAGACGCAATGTGGCCTTCCATAGTCGGCGATAGCTAGAAAGGAGTGTATGAAGTTGGCACCCCACTTTTTGAAATTTATAATTTTGAAAGTTGTTCCAGATTGTTCTGACTTTGTACCACATTGTTCCAAAGTGATATTGTTTCATTCGAAACGGTTTTCGAATAAGACAAAAAAAAATGATTTTTTGAGCTGGCACCCCACTTTTCGAAAATCGAACATTCTGATATCGCAATAGATTGTTCTAGTTGTTCCAAACATTGTTCCGAAAGGATAAATCCGTAAGTTAAATTATAAGTCCAAAAAATGAAAAAAATGTTTTTGACCTGGCACCCCATTTTTTGAAAATAAAGCATTTCGATACCGATATAGATTGTTCTAGTTGTTCCAAACATTGTTCCAAAAGCACAAATCAATAAGTTTAATTATAAGCCCGAAAAATTAAAAAAAAGTTTTTTGACAAACAGTCTATGGGACCAAGAGTAAACTTATACTATCGTTCTTGTTCCAACCGAGATCTTTTTGTTCTGAGTTGTTCTAGGCTTAAGAATTATAGTTCTTATAATTATGGAGTATGAGACTCATAAGATCATTCGTTCTCCGAAAATTCGTAAAAAAATCGATTTGACAGTACTCGACGTCAAGAGTAAACACATGCTTCCTTT